CTGTTGTGTCGAGGCTTTATATTACGCTCTGTATTGTTACATATAATCATGTACATCTTTTCATAAAGAGAGATTGGATTGATTTTGATACTGATCAAGATTTGCTGATGTGGTAAAGCAATAAAAACACCCACCAGGAGGATTCTCATTCTTGTAAGTTAACGTTTTAAACATTTATAGAGAAATTTCTCTTCCTCTCTCCGGTCTTTTAGATAAACTAATAACACTGTTAAAGAATGCAGACTCTTCACACCTCCCTGAATGCATTTTACACCTCTCAGGTATTTACTGAAAAAATCAAAGTGTATATCATAGAATTAATGGCCTCACACACTTGATGCTCAAAACTCAGAAGCGCCACAGCACCGGCAATTAAAATCCAGGAAAGCCTTATGTTGCTGCTTAAAATTCCGCTGCTCACTACTTCATAAGCCTGGCCAAAGCCGTTCACGAGGCTCAGTTTAGATGTGCAATTTGGGATATTATGACGTGGATGTTAATGGATGGAGGCTCCCAGCCCACCCCGAAATCATGAGCAGATGTTTGTCTGCTGGACCAGAGTGAAACTAATTCTCTTCAGATCTCATCAAACGCTGAGTCCTGGTCCAAGACCAGGGGCCAGAGGATGAGAATGATGTCAGGATCCACCTGGAGACTGATGCTAAAGTTAGTTTGTAGCATCTTTAAATGGGAATGTGCCCAGATAAAAACTCCTTTCATAGGGATCCAAAAAAGCTCTTCGACAATGATTGCACTAAAGTATAACAATACAAATACCTAGTAAACCAACTGTTTCTAATTCAGCTACCAAAATGATTTAAACAACCATAAAGTGACCTTAAAGAAATATTTAAATTGTTTTTGTGACTGATTGGCTATCACTACGATCATTTTCATTAGGCTTTTTAATGCTTTGGCCAACTTGTTTAACTATCCGCTTAACTAAATAATTTGTTTGGCTAAATTCTGCGAACTTTTAGCCAGTTTGCTAATATTTTTCCTGGCATTACACATTTAAAGCTAACTGAATAAGTGAGGTTAGATTTTGTAGAATTACTATCAAATTAGCATGAAAATAAATAAATAAAAAATAGTTTTTTAAGTAAATTACTGTTAGCTTCAATCTGTATCTCGCTTAGAGCTAGGATATCCATGTTCTGCTGTGTGTGGTACAGAGGTTCTAGCATTTTAACAGCAGTCTCAAACACCACATGTTCTGGCACTAAGGAGGAATCTGGTCGGTACAACATCATAATGTTTTTGTTTTTGTAATTACAGCGAGAGAAATGTGGTGGAAATGTAAATGTAAAAATGGACAGAGATGGATGAAGAATGGGAAAGACACTCGCCTTTGAAGTTGGGTCTTATCCTGGGATCATAGCTGATCAGTAACCTGTTCAAGATGTTACTGGTTGAATTGGCCGGGACTCGAGCCAGGTCCTCAGACGACAGCTGTCTGCAAACAGAGAAGATGGAGAGGCAACTGTGGGTACGTTTACATTAGCAGGTCAAAGTCCTGGCCGATGAACAGCAGCGATTCTCAGAACGGCAGCTCCCAACTCTGTTTATTCCCTGATTATACTGCAGCCGGAGTGAGCTACCATTCTGGGATTAAATTAGTTGTGAAGATTGGGACCACCCACACATTCTTAGAGAGCAGGAGTGTTTACAAATGTCACATTGTGTTAGTGTGAGATGTTTCCAGATTATTATCCCACAGTTTGAGAATCACTCTTTTAACTTTCAAGCTTGTGGTAAGGATTACACAAAAGGTTGGCTGCAGCAGACATGTTTGGTAGGTTCTCCATCATGTAGAAGGTCAGACAAGGCCATCCGTATGCTTATGTGTTCCTGGACTGAACTCTTGACCCCAAGTAACCCATGAAATTCTCCTAGCCTCCGAGTGCTATTCCAAAAGTGTTTTAAATTAGACTCTGTTTTATAATTATTTAATTTCACCTTGTATAATTATTTACAGTTTCCTTGACAACTTATGCAATTAACTAGATGGATGATGTCAAACCTTCAGCACAAGTTGCAAATATGTTTTAATACATGAAGATAAAAACACAAAAAAAATCACAGTCAACATGTGTTAAAGGTTATAATTACTCATTTACCAGAAACAAAGCCAAGACACCAACAACAAAAAAACTAGGAGACAGTTAGTGTTAGCTTCGCTAACAGACCAAGCTGGAAGTTCCTGTCCATAAAGGATGGGTTATGCATACTTTCAAAAACATTATCAAATTTTTTAAAATATTTCTGAAATACTGTTCTACTAGGGTTTTACCTCCATTGCCTTTAAACTGTTTAACTGAAGCCCAGAATGCTCTATTTCCTTACCGCAAAGGATGTGGTTTATATGTAGTGTAAATGACCTGTCAACACAAACTAAAGAGACAACAGTAAAATGGGCATCATTTGAACCATCCCGCAAGGCAGCGAAAAACAGCTGTGTACGGCAAATAAACACAGCAAAATAACACTGTGTTTTATGGAAATGTTAAACCAAACATCCTTTGTTTGGACTGTTTGAAATACAATGGCACAAAGAGAGAGTGAAAGGGGAGAGTGAGGATGCGGGGGAGAAGAAAAAGGGAAACAGAAACGCTCCATGTGGGTGGCAGTGAATTTGACTGCCAAAGAATTTCTTCCTCCTTTCATCCATATGATAATGTAAACCTTATCATGTATTGAAGATGAGCTAAAAGACACTGTGTGTGTATCTTGTGCAGTTCTTGTGATCAAAGTGAAAAACATATTTTTGCCGTTAACAGATCTTTCTGACAACATCTAAACTGGAACCAATTGCATTCTGGATCCACACATAAAAGCACTGTATATGAAGATGTCACACAGCTCGTCTCTGGCCAAAACTGAGACGCCATCAAACAATTCGCAGAGTCCAACCATGTTACCATTTCAAGAGGCAGGACACACAGCTCTTCGGTGCACAGAGACACAGGACACTTAACTTTTATTCTGTTAGGAGTCCATTACCTCCAGTCTTTATTCTATAAACTAAAGTTGATGTAGGAAGGATCTCCAGAAAAATATGGTGCTGTGTTTAAAGATCAGAACGATTCTGAAGTGTTCGTTTTAAAGACTGGCAAAAATGCATTGTGTGCAGTTCCACTAGTGGCCAGGTGGTTAGCTGATGGTCAAAGGTTGAATATCCAATAAAATAAAAGGAAAAGTTAATTAAGTTTAATTATACTGGGCTCTGTGAACTGGTGAGCTTGTTGTACCCAACTCTCCAGTGTTGTGATTGGCTCATTATCCCACTGCTTCCCTGCAAAAAAAAAGTTGCAACAGGAAATTAATGAAATAATATCTGCATGCAGTCGAACACTCGCCTGCGAGTGCTGACCCAGTTTTCAAGAAACCAGGCATGACTGGAAAAAAATACATTTCTGCTGTTGCATACGTTTCATGTTCTCTATTTACTAAAAGGTTCAACAGTAGAGAAATAATCCGTGTAAATTGAGAGCATTTCACAGTAGTAGCCTCCCCTTTTTTTTGAGCCCTGAAGCTTTTCAGTTTTCATTCTCCCCAAGCAGTTTTGAAGGTCAGGCCCAGTGGATCTTTCATTGCTGTGGTCTGATTTAGAACTGAGGAGAGTACGTGACACTACTGCCACACAGATGTACGTGCGCAGCACTTTATCAGAGCAGACCTTGAACTGATGCTCACAACAAAGGGAGAATATGAGGAAACAAGGGGTCTTTGATGGAGAGGTGGCAGAGGAAACAACAAACAATTGCCCCAAAGGCAAACGGCACAGGTAGATTATTAAAAAATACAAGTCTGTGGAATGTCTGTCATGATTTAAACCAGTAATGACCCAAATGCAGGCTCAGATGACGTTAAGTGAAAAACAAGGATTTATTTTCCAACTCAACAGGAATCACAAGGAACAATAGTTCAAGTCAATCTGGACGTCAGCTACCACGGTGGCTGAACAAACGATCTGACGACCAGTGGGAGAAAGGCCAGGGTTTTTATGCCGTCAGAGTGATGGGTTGATTGAAGGCAGGTGCTGAGGAACGGCAGGTGTGCTTCAGTGATTAACCAGGCGGAGTCAGGGAAATGTGCCACACCCACTACACAGACAGAGAAAAGTGCACAACACAAGAATGGGGAAACACAGGGAACGACAGTCACGACTGTCATCGTGACAATGTCATTGTCATCTCAACAGCCACCTCCAGGTGGCCTACCAGGCTTGTCAGGATGCTTTTGATAGAAATCCCAGATTAGAGAGGGATCTAAAGTTATAATAATAAGCCCCTGCGACGCACATCCAGCAGCTGCCGGACTGTAAAGGCAGGAGGGTCATCCACAATCCGGGCGGGTGGAGCGGAATGGCTGGAGGGCATAATGGACTGACAGAAACAGGTTTCAGCAGGGACACATGAAAAGTGGGGTGAATTCTCAAAGACCGTGGTAGCTTGAGCTTTTCCACAGAGGGGTTAATGATACTGACAATCTCATAGGGGCCAATGTAACGAGGGGAAAGCTTCCTAGAATCTGTCTTTAAAGGAATGTCCTTAGCACAGAGCCAAACTTTCTGACCTGGTTGGTATTTGGGGGCTGGTGTCCGAAGGCAGTCAGCGTAATGACAATTGCGATCAACAGAACGAAGTAGCGCAGAGCGGGCATCCTTCCAGAGCCTACGACATCGGCGAAGATGGGCCTGGACCGAGGGAACAGCAATCTCACCCTCCTGGGCAGGAAACAGTGGTGGTAAGTAACCCAGAGAGCATTCAAATGGAGTCATACCTGTGGCTGCACATTTTAGGGAGTTGTGGGCGTATTCAATCCAGGGAAGATGGACACTCCAAGAGGTGGGATTCCTGGCAGACAACGGAGAGCTGCCTCTAAGTTTTGGTTGGCACGCTCTGTTTGTCCATTGGTCTGAGGATGAAAACCAGAAGACAAACTCACAGAAGCTCCAAGGGCTTGACAGAATGCCTTCCAAACCTGGGAGGTGAACTGAGGACCACAATCAGAGACAATGTCCAGAGGAATACTGTGGAGACGAAAGAAATGAAGCACCAGGAGTTCAGCGGTCTCAAGAGCAGAGGGGCGTTTAGGAAGAGACACAAAATGCACAGCCTTAGAAAACCTGTCCACAATGGTCAGAATGACCGTATTACCTTGTGAAGAAGGTAGTCCAGTAACAAAATCGATTGCGATGTGTGACCAAGAGGCGATTAGCTGGACCTGTACCAGGGTCTGGTTGGTGTTGCTGAGCCCTCTTCATGACCTCCTCAATCTCCCAGGTCACAGCTGCTACCACACAGGATGGAGGCAGGATGGTAGCTGAAGCCAAGGGAGCATCTTCAGACTCAAACTGGCAGGAGAGAGCATCTGGCTTTATGTTACTGGATCCAGGACGATACGTTAGGGTGAAGTTAAATCGACCAAAGAATAATGCCCACCGGGCTTGACGGGAGTTGAGGCGTTTGGCAGTTTGAATATAGGACAGATTTTTATAATCGGTCCAGACAATAAATGGCTGCTCTGCCCCCTCCAACCAGTGTCTCCATTCCTCTAAGGCCAATTTAACTGCAAGAAGCTCACGCTTACCAATGTCATAGTTTCACTTGGCTGGCGACAGCCGACGGGACAAGGCACAGGGGTGTAACGTCTGCTCAGAGGCAGCCAATTGAGAGAGGACTGCTCCAACCCCAGTATCAGAAGCATCCACTTCTACAATGAACTGGCGAGAAGGGTCTGGGTGGACTAGGACTGGTGCAGAAGTGAATCGTCTCTTAAGATCAGTGAAGGCCGCTTCAGCCCCTGGAGTCCAGGTAAAAGGGGAGAGTTGAGGATGTGAGCTTGAAAAGGGGAGTAGCACCACGACTGTAGTTTCTGATAAACCTGTGATAGAAATCTGCAAAACCAAGGAACTGTTGAAGCTGCTTACGGGAAGTTGGTCTGGGCCACTCAACAACGGCTTGTGTCTTGGCTGGGTCTGTTCTCACCTGCCCGCTCTCGAAAATGTATCCCAGGAACGCCACACATGGAACTCGCTCTTCTCAACCTTCACAAACAATTTGTTATCCAAGAGTCTCTGGAGGACTTGTCTGACATGGCGAACATGTTCCTCTGCACTCCTGGAGAAGATGAGAATGTCATCCAAATAGACAAAAACTGAGCGATTGAGAAAATCACGGAGAACATCATTTACTAGGGCCTGGAAAACAGCAGGAGCATTGGTGAGTCCAAAAGGCATTACCAGGTATTCAAAGTGGCCAGGGGGGGTATTGAAACCTGTCTTCCACTCATCTCCCTCCTTGATCCTAACGAGATGGTAGGCATTCCGCAGGTGCAGTTTGGAGAAGATGGTGGCTCCCTGTAAAGACTCAAAAGCAGAACTGATCAAAGGCAAAGGATATTTGTTCTTTATGGTGATGTTAAGTCCACAGTAGTCAATGCATGGTCACAGAGTCTTATCCTTTTTTGATACAAAGAAGAAACCAGCTCCCAGAGGAGAAGAGGAGTGACAGATGATTCCTGCAGCCAGAGAGTCATGAATG